GCCGCTCTTCCCCAGTTCTGCCCAGGCATGCTGCAGAGTCTGTTCTGTCTCTCTGCACCCTGGGGAAACCCAGTATGATGCCCTGGGGCTTCTCTCCTGACCAGCACAGGAGATGGAGGGGACACACCCAGCCTTACTCTCTGTCCCCTCAAAGCTATATGCAGACATGGTCTTCCCCATCCCCAGGGCCTGGTGGCCATCCCTGTCTCCATCTTCTTCAGCCGGCCCCATCAGAAGGACTTTGACCACTACATCCGATTCTGTTTTGTGAAGGTGAGAGAAAGCCAGGAGAAGGCCACTGGGCCTGGCTAGCCACTGGGTGGAAGGCTTAGTGTGTATCTTGCAGGACGAGGCCACACTCCAGGCCATGGATGAGAGGCTGTGCAGGTGGAAAGGAGAACTCCAACCCTGAGGCTGTCCTCAGCCCGCCTCGCACCCTGAGGCCTCAGCTGTGCCTATCACAGGGATGGCACTGGAGGGCCCAGCTGTGTGACTGGGCATGTTTCCAGGAAAGAGGCCATTTCTTGAGGGTTCCAGGCATCTTTTTTTCCAGTGTCTGGACTGCTGTATTGGATTGGGGGCCAGTCCTGGGCCTCAGTCTACTCCTCTGTAGGTTGCTTGTAGGGTCTTGGTTGTTTCTATCCTCTCTGCCTGGGACAGGAAAGGATGGAGTATCAGGCCTGGAGTCCCAGCTCCAGCCCCACCTTAGACCTGCTGGGGCTCCACAGCTTCTCCACCTCTTCTCATGTGACCACGATGTTGCTATTGTTCCTAATAAAGTTTTAAGTTATTAGAACCCTCAAGGCAGCTTCTTTCTTCCTTTAGACTGCTGAACAGGGCTTGGAATAGCTTGAAGGGACCCCAGAGAACCTCAGACTCCACATCTTCTTTATGGGAGGGCAGGGGAAGACTGGAAACTTCAAACTCATCTGAAGTCACAGGGATTGCTTGTTCATGGCAATCCAAATTCAGATCCAAGTTGTCTGCTTTGTTCTGTGTCATGCTCAGAGGATGCAAGTTGCAGGCTAGGTTAGGGTGTTGGTGTGTGTGGACAGGAATGCAGCCTTGGAGACATCTTCACAGGGATTCAAGAACAACCTCCTAGGTAGCACAGAGGTAGGAGGAGCATCTGTGATCAACCCCACTGGTTCCCATTTACCTGCAATTCCAACAGCCTGCTGTGGAGAGAGTGTAGGGATGGCAGAGTTGGAGGACACACACACACACACACACACACACACACACACACGCCATTTTGCTGTAAAAGTGGAAGTGAAGTTTGATCTGGGCAGGGGTTTTAGACAAGCTTGGAACTCAGTATGTAGACCAAGCAGCCTTGAACTTGTGATCTTCTTGCCTCTGCTTACAGAGTACTGAGAGTACAGCATGCTCCACACCTGGCTTAGAAGTGGGATTCTGTGCCTAGTTATGGTTCCACTAAAGCAACTATAGCCCCCAAGTCCCTCCCGGAGGCCACACTAGGAGGCAAGTCCATATGGAGAACAACACAGGCATTTCACTCATACCTGACCTCGAGCCTACAGAAATGATGGGTCATCAGGTATAAGAACTGTAAAAATGTTTTCCCCTGGTAAGGAATTCCTAGAACATGAAGTTCTAGGATCGGAGGAATTTTTGTTGATCATAAAATCTCCTTTGGACCTGTGCGTAGCGTTGGACCCTTGAGCCCACTCCTCGCTTCTGTCCTGGGGAGAGGGGGGGATGGGTGGCGCTGGACTTGCAGTTGAACCACAAGGCCAATGATGTTTTCTTTTGGGAAGTTTTTAGGGAAAGTCAGTGTCACACACTGTAGCCCAGGTTGACTTCAAACTCGTGGCAATCCCCCTGTCTCTCCCTCCTAAATAATTAGGATTACAAGGCTGAGCTGTCAGTCTTGGCTTGATTTTGTGTTTGGTTTTGTTGGCAGTGCTGGGGAATGAACTCATAGCTTTCATATGCATGGCAAATGCTGTACCACCGAGCTACACCCCAGTCGTGGGCAATGACTAAGTCCAAAGCACATATGCAATAAACCTGTCAAAAGACTGCGACCAGGCTGTCTGTGACCAGCCAGCTCCTAAGACAATTATTTATTATAGCTCAGGCCTTAGCTTGGGCTATTTCCCAACCGGCTCGGATAACTTAATTAACCCGTTTATTCTGATCTAAGTTCTGCCATGTGCCCGTTAGTTACCTCTCTTCAGGACTAGCACATACTTCTTCCTCAGTGCCTGGCTGTTGAATCTCCAGCCTCCAACTCTTTCCCAGAATTCTTATCTCTGCCCGGAAGTCCCGCCTGTCCTTTTCTGCTTTGCTCTTCATTAAACCAATTAAGGTCATTCAGGTCTTTATTAAACCAATCAGAAGGTGATGGGAAAGATGTGTCCAAAACACAGAGAGGGGTGAGGCTTCATAAAAGTAACAATACCAAAGACCATCCTGTACTCACATCTCTTCCAGGAGTGGGGTGGAGGTGGGGGTATGGGACACGCTCTTCCCCCACCTTCCACTTCACTCCCCCACTTCCCCTACAGAAATCAGCATTTGAATAATACAAAGACATCCTTTACACCGGGCACTAGAGATTATTCCAACAAAACACAAACTTAAAGTTCTGATTTTCTTTTATTTGCTGTTTAGAATCTGGTTCTGTAAAACAGAAGAGGGGAGGAGTTTGATGGAGTTGGAGACAGCTCAGTGATCATAGCACTTGCTGTTCTAACAGACATGGAGTCAGTTTCCAGAACCCACATCTAGCAGATCAGAGCCCCCTGTGACTCCAACTTCAAGGGACCCTCCCTAAACTGTCTCCTGGGCTCTGTGGACATTGCACACATATGGCGCTGGGTATCAAACCAGGGCATCACAGGTGCCAGACATGCACTCTAACTCTGAGCTGTATCCCAGCCAAGAATTGTCGTGGGAACATACTTGATATTGTTGGGGACCAGGAATCACCTCACAAACCACAGGAAGACTGATCTCAGTCAGACAGAGATCGTTTATTGAGGATTCACCCCAGGACCATGATCATGGCCACTCGGGAGCTGAACCATGACATTGAGTTAAGATCCTACAAGGGTTTAAAGCCTAAAACCCACAAACATCTGTGCTGAGCATTCTCACTGATCAGGATTTAGGGATAGGGGATTTCCTTAGGAACATGTCTTCGTTGAACACTTTTTTCTTCTTCTTCTTTTTTTTTTTTTTTTTTGGCTTTTTGAGACAGGGTTTCTCTGTGTAGCCCTGGCTGTCCTGGAACTCACTCTGTAGACCAGGCTGGCCTCGAACTCAGAAATCCTCCTGCCTCTGCCTCTCAAGTGCTGGGATTAAAGACATGCACGCCACCACTGCCCGGCCTGTTGTACACTTCTCCTGCTCCCATTAGTTGGGGTACTCAACTGTGGCAGGGGACTTGCCTTGTCTAACATTCATGTCTTGACTTGCCAACTAAGATGGGCAAAACCGTAGAATTCTTAATTCAAAGTACTTTGACAATGACCAGGCCTGATGGTATACTCTGAGATAGAGTCAGGAGGATCAGGAGTTTAAGACCAATTCTGATACACGAGGCTTTGTCTCAAAAACAAAAACAGACCCTAAGTTGAAGAGATGACTGCACAATCAGGAGGATCAGAGTTCAGATCCCAGCACTGATATTACAAGGATAGTGTCCCACATTAACTCCTGCTAGGAGTGTGGTGGAGACATGAGGATTTTGGTGGCTTCCAGGATAGGCAGCAACCATGAGGCCCAGCTCAGCACTGCTGGTACACACCTTTAACCACGGTATAAATGTAGTTGTGAAGCTGGCTGCGCACTTGTTTGGTTGGTTGGATTTGTTGTTGTTGCTGCTGTTTTGAGACAAGGGGTTCTCTATGCAGCTCTGGCTGTCCTGGAACTCATTATATAGACTAGGCTAGTCTTGAACTGACAGAGATCCTCTTGCCTGTGGAAGACTTAGATTAAAGGCATGCACTGGCACACCTTTAATCCCAGCACTCAGGAGGCTGAGGCAGGTGGATCCTGAGTCAAGGCCTGTGTGAGCTACACAGTGGGCCAATGAGTCCATGCCTTCCCACTCCACCCACACCTCAAAGAAGTAACTTGGGATGCTGAGGAGATTGTTCTGTGGTTTAGAGAACTGGTTGTTCTTCCAGAGGACCTGGGTTTAGTTCCCAGCACACACATGGTAGGGTTTTTTTGTTTTGGTTTGGTTTTGGTTTTTAGAGACAGGGTTTCTCTGTATAGCCCTGGCTGTCCTGGAACTCACTCTGTAGACCAGGCTGGCCTCGAACTCAGAAATCCACCTGCCTCTGCCTCCCAAGTGCTGGGATTAAAGGCGTGCACCATCACTACCCGGCTATCTTTTTTTTTATTATTATTTAAACTACCACACGCAAACGAATGAATTAAATTGATAAAGAATAAAGTCTAGACAAGGCTGGGAATATAGCTCACTGGTGGAGCACTTGATTTAGCATGTGTCAGGCCCTTAATTGGATTCCCAGGAAACTGAATGAATGGATAAATAAAAAGAAAGTGCAAATGAACTGGATTAAACCATTCCTAGTAATTTCCAGTAGGATCTCTTTACATAAAATTTGGAAGCTGCCGGGCAGTGGTGGCTCACGGCTTTAATCCCAGCACTTGGGAGGCAGAGGGAGGTGGATTTCTGAGTTTGAGGCTAGCCTGATCTACAGAGTGAGTTCCAGGACAGCCAGGGCTACTACACAGAGAAACCTTGTCTCGAAAAACCAAAAAACAAAAACAAAAAACAAAACATGGAAGCTGATTATCACCAAAGTACCAATCGAAAGGGCAGCACATGAGACTTACTGGGTTCAGGACAGCATGGTACTGTGAACTGGAGACAGGATAGCAGACTGCAGCCTGCGCACCCGCACCAGGAGTTTCTGAGCTCCACCTCAGCCTGCCACCCAGGACACGCCCACGCTCCATTGGGCCTCTGATTGGGCAGCTCCGCGGAGGTGTGGCCGGAAGAGGCGAGGCTGATTGGTAGGCGCGTGGTGTTCCTGGAAACATGGCGGAGCGCCCGAAGAAGCGTCCGCGTGGTCCGGTAGGTGGCAAATGGATAGGTTCCGGTCTAGGCCCGGGAGCTGCAGCGTCTCACGGTGGTGTTGGCCCGGGTCTTCTGCTCCCTCCTCACCCCTTGCTCAAGCCTGAGCTTGCGGGGTTAGCTACTCCGATCTATATTCATTCGCAGGGCGACGGTGTCCTGAGTCCTCTCCTGGCTTATTTTCTGATTCCTAGGGCGACTTTATGGACATACCTGTCTTCCCCTTTCCTCAGTTTCTTCTTTTGCCCCATGGGAATTCATTCCTCAACTTCCCGGTTGCTTACTATGCCAGACCTGATCCCAGGCTTTGTGCACAACGAGTCCCTGTGTACTTCCACCCTGCCAGATTTGGGAGAGTCACATGGCGGGAGCCTCGCAAAGATGCTCCCCTCCTAAGTGTGACCGTTGAGCCTTTCAGGCTTCCTCCTTCCTTCCTTCCTTGCAGGGTGAGCACGGCAAAAGTGTTGAATGGCGAAAATGGAAGCAACATAGTAAGTAAAGGCTAAGGCCAGGCTGGGCAAACGTACTGAGCCCTCCCTTCCCACAAACCCTCTAATGCCCCGCCTAGCCGTCTTTGGGTTTCTGTGTATCCAAGTGGAGCAGCCTATCCAGAGCCCAGGTTGGCCCAGTGAGAGGGAACTCGCCTCACTATGCCAAGCCCTCTCCCACCAATTCTCTTCTCTAGAGAAAGAGGAGGAAAAGAAGTGGAAAGACGACAAGATAATGAAAAAACTAGAGCGGCAGCGTGCCCAGGAGGAACAGGCTAAGCGCCAGGAGGAGGAAGAGGCGGCTGCCCAGAGGAGCAACCAAGGTAAGCATCTGGGTCGTGAGGGGAATTGAATCACTGAGCCATGGGGACATGCAAGGGAGGGAAGGTCCACAGCCTATAGGCTGACTAAGGAACACCCTCTGCCCCTGCCAGGACGGCCTTACACTCTGAGTGTGGCCCTGCCAGGCTCCATCCTGGACAACGCCCAGTCACCTGAGCTCCGCACCTACCTGGCTGGCCAGATCGCCAGAGCCTGCACCATCTTCTGTGTGGATGAGATTGTGGTGTTTGATGAGGAGGGCCAAGATACCAAGTGAGAGTCTTTGGGGAGAGCGGAGGACCACCAGGGTGGCTGTGGCTTTGTCCTGCTCCTTGTCACCTGCCCAGCTGCCTGGGATAAGCTCTCAAAGGCAGCTGCGGATGCACCTTTTCTCTCCCTTGATACTAGAAGGTGGACTCAGGGTTTTGTGCATGCTCTACTCTGAAGCTATGTGTCACTCAGCGCTTGGATGGTTTTGTTTAACATTTCTTTATGGTGCTTCTATACAAACACCAATGTGGTTATGGTGATCGGAAGGCAACTTAAGCCAAACACTGGTGGCTTACGCCTTTCATCCCAGAACTCAGGAGGCAGAGGCAGGCGGATCTTTGTGAGATCAGGGCCACCCTGGTCTACAGGGCAAGGTCTGCGACTGCCAGGGCTACACCAAGAAACCCTGTCTCCAAAAACAAATGAAAAAAAAAAAAAAAAGACAATTTACAGGAGTCAGGTTGTCAGGTCTCCTTTCTTGATGGGGTTCTGGGTATGGTGTTTAGGTTTTCAGGATTGGGAACGCGGTAAGCCATCTTGCCATCCTAACACTTGTATCTTAAGGCCTTTCTTAATCTTTCCAGGAGTGTGGAAGGAGAATTTAGGGGAGTTGGCAAGAAGGGGCAGGCGTGTGTCCAGCTGGCCCGCATCCTGCAGTACCTGGAGTGTCCACAGTAAGTGTGAGGCAAGGGCAGTGTCACCTTTGAGGTGGCTGGGAGCCGTCCTCTCCAGCGTCCTGACGGCTCTGTTTCTCCCTAGGTACCTGAGAAAGGCATTCTTCCCCAAGCACCAGGATCTGCAGTTCGCAGGTATGGCTGATATGCCTGACCCATTTCTCATGGTTCTTAGGCACCAAGAAATCATGCAGCCCCACAGATAGATCCAGGTGGGAAGGCAGGCTGGGAGTAGAGCCCAGCCCTGACGTCACCCTCGTTCCTTGTCCAGGAATCCTTAATCCCTTAGATAGCCCTCACCACATGCGTCAGGATGAAGAATCTGAGTTCCGAGAAGGTGTTGTGGTGGACCGGCCCACCAAGGCAGGCCATGGCTCTTTGGTCAACTGTGGAATGAAGAAGGTAGGAGTGGGAAGGTGGGCTGTGGTACATTTGGGAACACTTGTTAGCTATGAAAGACAGGTACAGACACACAAATGAGGAAGCCTGGACTCCAGGCCTGCTGTGAAGCACTAGTTAACCCAAAGTAGGGCTCAAGAGATGAGCCCAAGGCTGCAGAGGTGGCTCAGAGGTTAAAGAGCACTGGCTGCTCTAGCAGAGGACCCACATTCACTTTCCAGAACCCATAGGGTGGCTCACAAACCACCAGTTCTGGGGTGTCTGGCGCCCTCTTGTGGCCTCCATGGGCCCCAGACATGAGTGTGATGCCTAGGCACAGGTGCAGCCAAAATGCCCAGACACATAAATAAGCGATGAAGAAGGAACCACTCTCCCTGTGCTTCTTGTCGGTGGTGTGCTTTTTCACTGTTCATTTTCGTCCCTGAGGTTTAATCATGCTGTGTCGTGTTCTCAAGATGGTATGGCCTTATCTTTGCTATATTTGAGGTTAGGTAGTTTTAATTTTTTTTATTTTTAGTCTATGTGTGTAAGATTGTGAATGAATGTGAGGTCAAAGGACAACTTGGCAGGTGTCAGTTTTCTCCCACTATGGGGGAATTGAACTCAGGTCATCAGGCTTGGGAGCAGGAGCCTTTACCTGGTGAACTGTCTCTCCAGATCCAAGTGTAGCTCTTTTATAGAGTCTGCTATTGATGAGGAAACAGACTCAAGGATTAAGTGACTCCTCAGACTCCTCCTACTAACACATGGCACAGTTACCACACAGGAAATGGACTCCATCTCCACGTAGACATCTCTCTGTGTCGTAAGCCCTGGGCTTCCATCTCTGACCAATGCGCTGTGATAATTGTTCCGCTTGAATGTTCCCTCCTAGCAGGTCCCACCCAGTGCCAGAAGTAGGGCGGCAGGTTGACTTGGGGTCTCTGAGCTGTTGTCCCCTTGCGGTGTGGCACTCACTCCCTCTGGCTTCTCTTCAGGAGGTGAAGATTGACAAGAAACTGGACCCTGGACTTCGGGTGACCGTGCGACTGAACCAGCAGCAGCTCCCAGGTACGGGGGGCTTCCTCAGCCCTTATAGCTGCCGGCTTAGAGCCGCCCTGCCTCCCTGTCTCCTTGGTCTTTCTTCATAGCTTGTTTTGTTTCCCAGAATGCAAGACATACAGAGGAATGGTTGTATCATCACAGGATCCCCGCACCAAAGCTGGGCTCTACTGGGGCTACACTGTCCGGCTGGCCTCCTGCCTCAGTAAGAACCGAAGTCCCTTTCCTGAATGTCCATCTGTCACGCTTGTGAGACCCACAAGTCAGATCAGGGTCTCTGTCCTACCAGATGAGATATATGTTTTACCTCCTCTAGTCTCTGGTCTCATCTCTGGCACCCTCGTCTCCTTGAACATCTCCGTGAATGCTAAGGACACCTGAGAACAGGCTGTGTTTGGCTCTCATCCTACTGCAGTCTCAGTAATAGGGAGACCAGCACAGGAATCTCATTGTCTGTCTGAGACCAGCTTAGATATGTAAGAGTGAGACCTTGCTGTCTCAAGACAAGTATCATGGCTGTTGAATGTTGTCTAGGACTTGGGAACTCCTTTCTGCCCACCCCACATGTCCCTCAGCCAAGGTCAACTTCCCCAAAGCAGTAGGGACCTTATTTACCACCTGCCTCTCACTCTACCTGACCCCACTATGCTAGACACACAGCTGAGAGCAAGATCCCACTGAGCCTGCCCCACCCCCAGGTGCTGTGTTTGCTGAGGCTCCCTTCCAGGATGGGTATGACCTGACCATTGGGACATCAGAACGTGGCTCCAACGTGGCCTCTGCCCAGCTGCCCAGCTTCAGGTGAGTGCTGCTTAGAACAGGAACTTGGCCTTACTCTACAGGGGGTTAGGGACTTGAAGTTTTGGAGACTGCAGTGAAGCCTTGAAGTCTGTGTCTCCCTCTCTGGCTACCAGGCATGCTCTTGTGGTGTTTGGAGGCCTCCAAGGGCTAGAAGCTGGAGTGGATGCTGACCCGAACCTTGAAGTGGCTGACCCCAGTGTCCTCTTCGACTTTTATGTCAACACATGCCCTAGCCAGGGTAGCCGTACCATCCGCACTGAGGTGAGCCACAGGCACCCAGGACCTGCAGCTCACCCTGCATGCCTTTTCTAAAATTTACTTCTGGATGTTTTGTCTGCGTGTAACTGTATGTACATCAGGAGAGAGCCCATGAGACTGCAGGTGTCGACAGTTATGAACTGAACTCAGGACTTCCAGGAAAGCAGCCAGTGCTCTTAATCGCTGAGCCATCTCTGGCCCCAGCCTAAATAGCTTTTCTGAAGATGGGATCTTTATCATAACAAACTAGTGACAGGGACTGGATACAAGAGCAGTAAGAGTTGTAATCCTGGCCCTGTAGTAGCCCTGTGTTCCCAGGTTGAGGGACCCAGGTGATCTGTCTGTCCCTCTGCAGGGCCTCTTGCTTCCCTGGTGGTATCTTTTGTTACAAACATTTCTGTGCTGGGGAAAAGTATGCCACAAGATCCGAGCATCCACAGGATGACAGATCCTGCGGCCTGCGGCCTCCTTGAGGCCAGCACGGGATGCTGTCCCTGTGGGTATTATGTCCCGGTGGGTATTATGGGGGAGGCTCTGTTGCTCCATCAGCCTCAGGGGCGGTGACTATGCTGATGGGCAGCCCCAGTCTCCCTGTCTCTGAAGTCCTCCCCAGTCCTCTTATCCTTTCTGGCCCTGAGGTAGGCCCCCACATGGGGCTCTGAGAACAAGGAGCTGGGAAGGCTGCCTGGCTGCCAGGTCCCAGCCAACTTCTTTTCTTCCAGGAGGCTATACTCATCTCGCTGGCTGCTTTGCAGCCTGGCCTCACCCAGGTGGGGTCACGGCCCACCTGACAACTTTCAGGATCCAGGATGTAGAGGAAGCAGCAAAACATGGAGGACCTCAGGGAATAGAGATGGTTAAGACTTCTCTCCAAAAATAACTGCCTTTAATGTGAGCCAGCCCCATCTCCCCAGGGTCTCGAGTGAGTCCTCCACCGTCACTTGCTGCCAGCAGTAATGGCCTTGAGGTTTCCAGCTCGAGCCAGAATATTGGGCACGAAGAGCAATCCCGAGGCCCGCTCGATGCTCTCGATGGGCACCAGGAACCGCTCCAAGGGGACAGTCTCGTCCACAGGGGCATTGGGCATCACATAGGAACGCAGCTCGATCTGCCCACTGGCTGCCTCCAGGATCAGCACCTTGAAGAAGTGTGTGGGCACTGCTACGTGGTTCTTTCCAATAACCTGGTACTTCACATAGGACTTCCCATCAGCCTCGGTCCTATGGATAGACCAGGGCACACATGGACAAGAGGCCTGGTTAGATACAAGGTCACCTCTTCCAGGAAGCCTTCCCTGACCTAACTTCCAACAAAAAGTTTGTGTTGTGCCTGGTGCCTCCTTGGGTCTGAGAACTATGTAAGGTGAGGACTAACGCTTAACCCTCTACTTCTCTGCCCAGCACAGGTTCAGACAGAATGGGTGGCAATAAATGCAGTTAGAGGGATGAGTTCTCTAGACCTTGATGCTCACCCGTGCACACGTGACCATGACCTGTCCTGCTCCCTGTAGGCAGTACACCAAGCATGAGTGGGAAGCCATGTTGGGGGATCCCAGCCCCAGCCTGGTGCTCAGCAGGTGCCACGCTGGATGGCCTGTAGCTTCTAGTTTCCTCAGCAGCTGCTGCCTTCTGCAGCCTGTGCTGCTGATGCAGTCTGCTGCCCTCCAGAGGAGCTCAGCTCACTTGTCTGGTAGGAATACTTAGAGCAGGTCAGAGGCAAAGGTGACAGCCGCATGTAACTACGGGTTACGGGTGGTGTGGCATGTCAGAAGTGAGGGCAAAGGCAGTCATGGAGCTAGGCACCTGTGGGCACAACAGAGTTCTAGGCCACCCAGAGGTCTCTGGCTACAGTGATACAGAAAACCCAAAGCTGGAGAACAGGTGGCGGAGGCTGTGTCAACCACAGGCTTACCTGGGCAGGAAAAGGGGCCCTGTGCAGACATAGACATTTTGGTAAGTTCGAGTCAAGCTGCGGCTGTACTTCTCAAGATTGTTCCAGGCATTCTGGTTGAGGTGTGGCACCTGGTGAGAGAAGTGAGGCTCAGGAGCACCCCTGGACTTTCCATTAGGGGGATGCCCCAAGTCCTAAGGTCCGAGGACAAAGGCTCAAAGAAGGGGTCACTCCTTGAGGCTCTGACTACAGGTGTTGAGCCAGTGCTGGCCTCACCCCATTCCTGGCACTCCAAATCTCTAAGCTTTCCCTAACTCAAGGGGGAGGGGGGCATTAGTCATTCAGAGACCCCTAAGGTCTCTTGAAACTCCCAAACCTCACCTTTAATTCCAGCACTCAGGAGGCAGAGGCAGCAGGCAGATCTCTAGATCTCTAGTTCTAGAACAGCCTGGGCTACACAGAGAAACCCTGTCTTGAAAAATCAAACAACAAAAAGGAGAGGGTGGGGTGTGGGCTCCTGTCCATCTCCATCCACTGGATGGTTGTCCCTAGGAACCGACCTCACAATCAAGACCCTGCTGGGAGCAGGTACAGTGCTAACAGTGTGTCCTGGTGATGTACGTTCTGCCAGCTGCTGTGGGCCAGCAGAGTAGTCAAGCTCCTGAGTTGCCTGAGGAAGCACATTGGGTGCCTTACTGACCGGCATTTATTGCTGGAGCCAGTCACTGTTGGTGTACTACTTCCCACGGGAGGATAAAGAGGGATGAACCCGGGACTCAGCAGTGGGACCGTAAGAGTCCTCCCTCCCGCCACGGTGCACGTGTAAAGTAAGACCTAACTCGCTCTAGGCACAGTCAGACGGGTGACCAGGGTCCGGGACTACCTGAGGTGCTACGTTGCTCAGGTAGAAGGTGTCGTCCATGGCCCGCTGACTCCAGCGGTGATTGGCGGCGGCGGCCAAGTGGCCGCGGTCAAAGCCACTGCCGCGGTAGTCCGCATTGGTGGCGCGGTGGTACGCGTGCACAGAGTCGTCCTCGCGGAAGTCGCAGGCGCGACGGTCTCCGTCGCCACGGAGCCGCTCTGGCCTCAGCTGCTCCAATACCCAGAGCGCACCGCGCGTGCGCGGGTCGTAGCTCAGCACATAGGACTCGCGGCTCCGGAGCTGCGCCACGCCGGGCAGCCCGTACTTGGCCAACTCCCCGGTGCCGCCCGCCGGTCCTCCCGGAAGCGCGGGAAGATCGGCGGCGACCACCGGCAACACTGGCACTCGGCCCAGCAACCCCGGCGCTTTGCCCTCCCGCCTCCAGCAATGCTCTGCCGCGGCGCCCAGCCCCGCGCCCAGCGCCAGGGTCAGGCCGGCCCGCAGCGCGCGCATGCCTACCGGAGGATCACTACACTACCGAGGGTAACAAAAAGCGAAGGAGCCCGGCGGTGTACGTCCCACGCCCTTCAGCTGCCCTTTTAAGACCAGGCTGGGGCCTGGTACCGCCCTACCCGTGTGCCATTGGTCACTCCAGTCTGGCTCCGCCTCACTGGTACACCTCACGTGGCCCTGGGTAATCTAGTTGCTTTTAAACAGGACAGAGCCCCAAATCTGTCAGAGCCCTCCTGTGCACCCGTCTTCCTGCCACCAGATGAAAGAAGGATTCCTCTAGATTGACTAACAGAAGGATGCAGGTGAAGACTGTAGCTGCTGATAGCCGCCTGGACCAAAGCTTGCTAGTAAGGTTAGAGAAGACAGCTATGCTAGGGTCATACTTTTCAACCCGCTTAATGGGTTGGACCTAGGAAGTATGCTGTGTAGGCCAGTGTTTCCTGTCCATAGGGCAGGGCTGGCTAAGGATATTTCCTGCATATCAGATGAAACAGTATTTAACCTATGAATATTTTAAGACATCAGCTGCCTTAAAACCTATTAAGGTGGAGGAAGAACGATACATAAAAACTGTGAAAATAGGGCTGCGAGTGTACCGTTTGAGGCACGCTCATTAGCATGGGACAAAACCAATTAACATTAAAGGATAATTAGGGGAGGGCGCTGGAGAGATGGCTCAGAGGTTAAGAGCACTGACTCTTAACCATCTACAGATGGTTCACGACCATCTGTAATGGGATCAGACGCCCTCTTCTGGTGTGTCTGAAGACAGCTACAGTGTATTCATATCCATAGAATAAATAATTATTTTTTAAAAGGATTTATTTATATATTACATATACAATGTCCTGCCTGCATGTATGCCTGCAGAACAGCCAGTGCTCTTAGTATCTGAGCCATCTCTCCGGCCCGAATAAATAATTCTTAAAAAAATATACATTGGGAAATAGGGCATCTGCAGGTGTTGATGGACAAGAAGATAATGGAAGGAAATCATACAAATACACAGTGTTCACATGTGAACATGTTACAATGAAACTCAGGGTTAGCTGTTTGTTTGATTGGTTGGTTGGTTTTTTGAGACAGGGTTTCTCTGTATAGCCTTGGCTGTCCTGGAACTCACATTGTAGACCAGCCTGGCCTCAAACTCAGAGATCTGCCTGCCTCTGCCTCCCAAGTGCTGGAATTAAAGGTGTGTGCCACCACAGACTGATGGAAAAAATAAAAGACAAGGTGTGGTCTGGAGACATGGTTCAGCAGTTCAGAGCACTTGTTGGACCCAGGTTCAGTTCCCAGCACCTACATTGTGGCTCACAACCATCTGTAACACAAAAGGATTTGCAGGCAAAACACCTATACAGACAACATAATTTGATTTTTTTTGTTTTTTGTTTTTTTTGGGTTTTTTTTTTGTTTTGTTTTTCAAGACAGGGTTTCTCTGTGTAGCTCTGGCTGTCCTGGCACTCACTCTGTAGACCAGGCTGGCCTCGAACTCTCGAAATCAGAAATCTGCCTGCCTCTGCCTCCCAAGTGCTGGGATTAAAGGCATGTGCCACCACCACCCGGCCATAATTTGATTTTCTAAAGAGCATGTTTGCAGAGAACCCAAGTTCAGTGACAGGTAATTCACAATGTCCTATAGCTTCAGCTCTAGGGACCCATTAGCTTCTGGACTGTGCAGGCCCCTGCAGTCTAGGGTGAAGGATTCAGCTCAGCTGACTAGAATTTTCATTTTTCTTTTCTTTCTTTTTAAAAAGATTTATTTATTTTATATATGTGAGTACTCTGTAGCTGTCTTCAAACACATCAGAAGTAGCCATCAGATCCCGTTACAGATGGTTGTAAACCACCATGTGGTTGCTGGGAATTGAACTCAGGACCTCTGGAAGAACAGTCAGTGCTCTTAACCACTGAGCCATCTCTCCAGTCTGGTACTTTGGTTTCTCTAAAAATCCAATTATATTATGTGAATATGTTTTTGTTTTAATCCCAGGTGTGTGATAGGGGCTGCTTCAGACTATGCATAGCCAATGATCGTCTCTAGGAAGGACAGGGTTTCTTCCAGCTGTGAGATAGTTTATGTTTGAAATGCTGGGGACTCTTGAAAGGGACTAAAGACAAGAACCCTGGAAGGGCCTGTGATGGCTGCAATCCCTGCTGCTGCATTTGCTATTGATCCATTGCTGGGTTGCTGGGTTGCTGGGTTGCTGGGTTGCTGGGTTGCTGG